GGCTTATAGGCACACCACTGTTAGAGCTAAAAATTATGTTTGCATTGAAAAACATGTGCCTTTATCTATCACTATCACTATGTTGGTACTAAATATTATTGAAATATCTCAAGCGGTTTCAAATATTAATTAATTTCCTTCTTTTTCTTAAATTTTTAACACCCCGTATTTTCGCAACGGAACATTTTTGGACCATAGTTTATAAAGCAAATTATCGTTAATTTTCGCATGTAGAATCACACCCTAAAACATTTGGGATCATTAAGCTTAACATTTTGTAAACTATATGCAATGCAGTCTAAAACTATACCTACTTTATAAATGCTAATATATATTTTATTAATTGCACATAAACAGAAAGTATTACAGGTTCAAAACAAAGAGTCGATTCTTGCTTGTGTATCAAATGAATTAGATCTGAAAGTATAGATGAACTGATTTTTCATCCATTCTAGTCCCTAAATATTTATAGTCCAGTAATCACGTAATTTACCTGGGAAAATTTGCGGAAGTTTTGATATTTGGTGTATGTAATATGTAATTTTGAACTGTTTTTTCCGATTTTTTATTTTTCCACCTCGTATCTTTGCCGCTGGAGCTGCTATTCAAAGAAAAAAGTGACCTGAAACCAATTTTTGAATATATCTTGTTTCTGGTTGATTTTCTAACAAAAATTATTTTGTACTAAAAAACTACACAATTTTCTCTACAAAATGGGTCTATCATTTTGTTCATAAAACTAAATGTTTTCACATACGAGAATTACAAAGTTTACCAAGTATGTAAGTAACGTGCAAAACAATACGCATTTAACGTGTTAAGTTTGCCGCTCGGATGCAACAGTTGACCATTGATTTAATGTGTTGCAAAAAAATTCTAATTTTCACGAAGTTATAAAAGTATTTAAATAAGAAGATGCTGACAAAGAAAGTGTAGCTAAAGCTGAAGAATACTGTCTTCTCAGACTTTACTGCTGGAATAAAAAGGAATTTATACCTCTGAACACTCACAGGCCCAATGCTTCATAAAATCAGCATACAGAAATAAATTTAACATCACCTCATTGCCTCCTGCAGAAGCAGCAGCAAGACAACATTAGTTTCAAATGTATCGTCAGGTAATGGATTGGTAACAAAAATCCTACAGATCAATGAGGATGGAAGAAAGACAAAAATGGTCTTGTCCCTCTGACTACACTCCCAGTACTTGCTCCAGAAGTTCTTAAACTAATTTCTTGTAAATGCAAGAAAAGATGTCGGGGATCATGTGGATGTAGGAAAGCAGGGCTCAACCGTTCTATAATTTGCTTAAACTGTGACAATATCATTGAAAGATAGTGATGACGATGAAGACACTGATATGATCTTATAAGGGGAAGATAAGGTAATCGGATTTTTGTAATTTTTGATATTTATGGTACGTGTAGTTTGGACCTTAAATAAGAATTTTTCAAAGTGGTTCGACGCAACGTTCATAAATTACCGAGATAATCAATTTTAAAGTTTTACCTGACCGCTAAATCCACTAGATGCGACACATTCTTCAATTGGGAGCGTGGCCTAATTGGTAGCGTTCGGGTCTGATAGCAAGGAGATCGCTGGTTCGAGTCCGTCATGTGGCATTTTTTTTTATGCACCATATGGTTTTTTATTATTTTTTTCATCTTGAAAATTATGAACAAACAAAATATAATAATTACTCATATGTATGTAGCAATATTCTTCAAATATTTCATTAAAATGCAGAATTGGTTGATAAACAATATTCATTATGAATTAACAATAAGGTTTCATTAAAAAAAACAAACAAACGAGGTCAGGTAGGATGTTCTTTTATTTTATATTTATGTTAGTATTTGACATTTTACGCAGTGTGGCACGAGCCAGTATGGTAGTTATCATAGAAAAATGGGAAGCTGAAGTTTTTTAAGCGTCTAGCTTTCTTTTTCTTTTTTTATCTTGAAAATTATGAACGAACGAAATATTATAAGTGTTTGATTAAAATTTTGAGCTAGGTTGTATGGATCATCCACCGTGTTTAGAAAAACCGCTTACAGAACACACCTGTAATATATTTGAACACTATTTTACTTTTTAACAAGTTTAGTGTTCGGCTTCCATAGTTCGTCTCTCTACATTTTTGTTACAAGAATTAATGAGGTTGCCGATTTGTTAATTCAGCAATATTTCATAACGCTAAAACTACAACTAACAACTTATTTTATACTAATGTAAGTAGGTCGGTACAATGTCCCAGTGTATTAAGTTATACAGGATGAGTTACTTTCTTGGGACATTACACACCTGCTTGGACATAAAAAGTTTCGGTAAATTCCACAAAGGGTAGAGAAACATCGACGTGCTAGATGCTTAAAAAATGTCTGCTTCCCATGTTTCTATGATAACTATCATTCTGGCTTATACCACACTGCGTAAAATGTCAAATACTAAAAATAAAATAAAAAAACATCCTACCTGACCTCGTTTGTTTTTTTTTTTAAAGAAACCTTATTGTTAATTCATAATAAATATTGTTTATCAACCAATTGTGCATTTTAATGAAATATTTGAAACATATACATATGTAGTCATTAGAATAATTCGTTTGTTCATAATTTTCGAGATAAGAAAACGAATAAAAAAACCATATGGTGCGTTTTGAAAAAAAAAATTTCGCCACGAGACTCGAACCACCGATCTCGTGACTGTCAGACCCAAGCGCTACCAACTAGGCCATGCTCCCAGCTGAGGAATGTGTCGCATCTATTGGATTTAGCTGGCAGGTAAAACTTCAAAATCGATTATTTTGGTAATTTATGAACGTTGCGTCAAACTACTTCAGAAAATTCTTATTCAACGTCCAAACTACACGTACCATAAATATCAAAAATTATAAAAATCCGATTACCTTACCTTCTCCTTGTTAGAACCACTGTGTAATAAAATTGATACAAAAAGTAGAGAAAGAAGCTACTGCGCCTGAAGAATCGATCCCACACGACTATGACACTTCGTTGCCTTCAACTTTCAAAAACATCGATAAAGCTGGTCCATCAGAGGTATCAAAGCGAAAGAACTTATTGTAATTTCATTTTTATTACCCTTTTCTATTACCTCATGGTGGTGTAGAAATGGATATTACTTTTCACTGCATGTTAAATGATGACCTTTGTTAGTCTCCTATCCCAAACGGGTCGGTTTTATGAAAAAAATGGTTAGAACCTATTTTGTAGCAAATTTCCTGGTCTTTAATTTATTACATACTTAACTATTTTTAGCTGCAACGAGTAATGAGATATCTAAAAAAATCTGTTTTAACAATACTCGTATATTATAATATGGCGGTGCCGGAGGCAAAGATACGAGGTAGCAAATGAAAAATTTGAAATGAGAAGCTCAAAATAGGTAAAACTGCAGAATATCAAAACTCCACAAAATTTTCCAGCTAAAGATAATTTAATGCACTGGACTGGACTACTAGGCAATTGAACATATTTACATATACGTTGAAGCAAAGCTGCCAGAATCCATGTGACGATTTCAAATTGTTACTGGTGACATAACTTGACTACAGAAACTGAATCAGTTGATCTGAGAAAGGACACGGCAGTAGCCGAAGCAGCCAAGGCTTGCCTACTGAGGCGAACCAGGGCTGTGCGGCAAAACCGTACTTAGTGGGTTCGAATCCTGCATACGGCAGGAAAATTCGAAGAAATTTTCCTGTCGTATCTATAGATGTTTGTGATTGTTAAGGTAGAGGGTAGTGTAAGTTAGCAGGCAAAAAGAGCCAAGCATGGCCTAATTGCTGGTAAGCTTCATGACCTTTACCTTTTTTGATCTGAGACAGAGTTCTTTCGGTTATGATTTGGCAATCATGATTAAATGAAAATGTCTACTGATGCATTGATTGACTCCTCTGATTCAGATTTGTGCATAATGAAGAGTTGTGACCGAAGTCTGAGTGAACGGATGTCTTGAGTGAATTGAGGCTTTGTTTAAATTTAAAATTACCTTATCATTAGATCCTAATGGTCGATTGAAAATCAGAAATTATTTAAACTAATTTGATTTATATAATTAATAATTCTCAATTATATGCTACATTTAAAATACCTAATAAATTGTAAGTATCATAATTTGTGTTATTATAGCTTATAATTCTACCGGTTTTTTCTTATAGCTATTTGCTCGGTTATTTGAATGTATTATGGTATTTTTAACTAAATCAAGCAAACGTCATTTACTGAATTATGTAAATATATAAAATATGTAACACAAAATAAGTAAATCTATTAAAACCGAAAAGTGTATGTGTTTAAAAGTGTAACTCAAAGCGAGACAGTATCACTAGCAGAATAGGTGATGTATTGAATTCGAGTCATAAGTCTTGTTTCCTAATAATGAGTCTTATTCCCCATGATTACAAATTGCTTGTGGCAAATATAGAAAATGAAACATTAAATAAAAGTTGAGCTTGTGTTAATGATGTCAAAAACCAGGCCAGGCCAAACTCCGGTACAAAAAGTCTGATCATTCCCCTGTATATCATATAAAAAGGAAAAACACCCGGACTTATAATTTTTACACCACAATTCCCATGGCATAATTATTGTCACAGGGATGTAACCAACTAACACAACTATTACGGTACCTACCTCATTTTGCAATGCACATTATATGATACAAAATACAGATACTTGTATCTGAAAATATGTTACTGTATATTTTTACATTTTTAAAATACTCAGTTTTTTGCCAAAAGTAGTTGATTTTATATCTACTTAATATGAATTTGTGTTTTTAATAATATAAATGTTGAATTTTAAGCATTAACATATTAAAAAATGTTTTTTCAGAAGTTTTATTACTAAAAGCAGTACCGAGGTTAGAACCTACCTACGAAATTTTTTTGTATATTTAAATACCAAATTGTATCACTTTCATTATAAACAATGAAGTGAAGAAACAGCACTTAATTATCAAATAATATAGCTAACTTACCTGTTGTTCAAATTTTTGTACTTTGATATCCATTTCTATTATCATAAACTGTTTATTTCCAACTAATTTTAAATACACATTACATTTGCTTACGAATTAAAATTTTATTGATTTAATTGATTTAAAAATGGTTGCACCACTGGTCTCATTTATTATAATTATTTATGATTCGTATTTGATATTTAATATATTTAATATTTCTACCTGCAAACTACTCATTGCCTATATTCAGTCAACAGAATCGATGGTTAGGCCGTATTCTTTTATTTATCTATTCTACGCAATGGACTACGTACAGCCAATCAGAAATTAGAATTGTTTAAACAAACCAATAATATTATATGGATGAAATCCACAGCACCAAAACAGCGAATAGAAGAACACGGCTTAATTCATCGATTCGGTCGGCTGAATGTACCCATCCATCGATTTTATAACCTAATGCATATTTAATACTACTATAGCCCTTGTTTATAAAATATAAGTTAGACCACCAGTCAAAGGCCGTTTTCACACTTGTGGTCCCTTTAAAGGAACGCTGTACACTAATATGGGTTAACCCATTAGTGTATGAAGTTTCCCTGTAAGTGTGGTAGGGAAGTATTTGTTTATGTAAGGTTATAGGGGGTGAAATAATTATATTCTACGATGTATAGCATCAAAAAACTTTAATAAAAATAGTAGAACCGTCCCTTAAAAGGGACATTGTACCTATAAAACAGTGAGGCTTTAACGAACATGGTACCTAATATTTAAAACAATTTTTGGGGTGTAGTCCAATATTACACTTAGAGCAAATAAAATTCGATTTCTTTCCGCATAAGTACCTACTCTACATCTATATATCTGTTGCTGAATACTATCTGGCCAAGGATTATTTCCATGGTACCCAGATGGCGGCGCGTGAACATTGATTGAATGTGTTCTGCTTAGGGTTGTTACATTTGTTGAATTGAATTCCGGGCAGGGATGGGCGGGTAGGCAATGTCGACTTAGACAATGCAATTGTCTACGCGTAGACAATGATCTAGATGAAGACTTAATTTGGAAGAGTCGACAATGTAGACAATGTCGACAATGTCAACAATTAAGAAACTCTCAAAACTAGAAAAAGGTGTTTTTATTTTAAACGAAATACCCTGTATATTATTTAAATTTTGAAAAATATTCTGCTGTCAGAAAAAATAAATGAATGGAAATGTAACCCACTAAACACGAAACGTAAATGAAACGTTGCAAATGAGATGTTTTACTAAACAATTGAAACATTAACTAGAAACGTTTCTGTTTCATTACAGAAATGTAGCACGTGAAAACTTATTTAGTGAAACATAGCTGAAACGTTACAATTGAAGAGAGTTTGAAACATTACTCGAAACATTACCTTTCGATCTCGGAAACATAACAGACGAACAACCCTTTGCTATTTTTGCTTATCTTATGGAACAATCGGCATTAGTTAAATTTTGCTCTCAATCCCCAATCCTTCTCAAGCGTTAGTTCATTTGCCTTTGTTATATACACATAATTAGAAAAAAATGTGGTAGCATATTTATAACACAAGTCTAGAAAAAATGTAATGTTTGTGACTTGCGTAGACTGCGCGTAACAGCCCGAGTTTATTTGTTTCCCGTGTGTCGTTTCAATTCGTATTATGTTAGGTTAGGTTTGCGGTTTGTCAGTTTGCTTGGTTTCGTTGTTATTCATCTTTACTTTGACGCTATTTTATGTGATAATTTGTAGTGTGTGCAGTTGTGGTTATTGTAAGGTGCATATAAAATAATGAATATTGATGCAAAATGTTTAAAACGATATGTGTGAAGAGATTTCCAATTTTGCGTCACATCTACCTAAATATAGTTATACCCACTACCTATTACAGACAAAGACAAGGACAAGGGACAAGAACTAAGAAAATGGAACAACAACTATACGTTTCGATATAATTTGAAGAGCAACTACTTAGTCAGTGAGAACTATTTGAAATATGGATGAATCAAGTGAAATAGACGTCATTTATTTTATATTTTGTACAAATGTTTATATTTGTTTATGTGTATAGGCATGCTTAAATAAAAGAGTTTAGGTATACCTACAGATATTTACTTTGT